TAGGGAAAGGAATGTGGCATCAACTGGTACACAGGTCATGAAAGCTAACCCAGGCCCATAAACATTATGGCAGCATAGCTGACAATTCTGCCCTCCCAAAGAACAATCTCCCGGGCCGCCCGGGAGGACTCCCGGTTAGTCTGGGATACCTCCCGGTTTCCCCGGGAACTCTCGGTGAAACTCCCTTAAGAGCTTAGGGGCCCGAATATCCCCATTCGCGGTGCTGGGGCCCAAAGTCCAACCATTCCACCCAATAAAACCGATTGCCACGTTTAACTCTAGAGTCCAGGATCTTTGAGATCTCAAAATGTTCTTCACCCTCCACCATGACGGGAGGGGGTACAGGCTTCAAGGGACGCCAGGTGCTTGGGCCTGGGTCCCGTTTCAGGAGCCTGAAATGAAACACAGAATGGATATTGCACATGTTCTTAGGAAGGTCAAGATCCATTGCCACATCATCGATCAGGCGTTTGACCTTAAACGGGCCAATAAACTTCCAACCCAGTTTGCGGCTGGGTCGCAACACCTTAATGTTCTTTGTAGATACATACACAGAACCCCCAGGCTGCAGAGCCCATTCCTCCACCCTTCTCTTGTTAGCCTGAGCCTTATAAGCCTCTTTAGCCGCATCCAATGTCTTACACAATAGAGGCCAAGAGTTTTGAAGTTTTTGACACCACTGCGCAGCATCCCCTGGGTCCAAGGTGGGGTGTGTGTGCATTTGAATGCCCTATATCTCTATCTGCTTTCTGGATGGTAGTGAACATATTCCTGCAACCATAGTACTGACAATAAAGTATAACCTTCCTAGAAGCATGTGCTCAATTGTTTGACTGTGGGTCCTGACACCTATAGGGATGCGGTGCTCTGTTTCCCAGCTGAAGATCCAGCGCTGTCTGAAGACGTTTCCGAGGCCATGTGGCCGGCATGACTAAAAGCCGAGGCCCACAGAACGCTGTTTCCTTCCCACCGAAGCGGTACCTATTTATGTACTTGCAGTTTCTTGCTTTTGAACTGCTAGGTTGGCAGGAGCTGGGGCCAGAGATGGGAGCTCACT